GGTTGGGTTGACATGTCAGTGTCTGGAAACAGAATATCTGTTACAACTTCAACTTTTTACGTTTTTTTCCGATAAAAATTTCTGGGAATTATTGTGATGCAAGCAGGTCTACGTGGCAGTTTTATATTCATATACGCATATATATTAAAATATATTTTTAATAATTTTAAAAAATATATATATTTAAAAGTTATTGACTTAAAAACTGGTATCGACTCCACTGGGGATCGAACCCAGAATCTCTGGTTCCGTAGACCAGCGCCTTATCCATTGGGCCATGGAGTCTTTTGCTTACTCTGCTTTGGCAGGGTAAAAATTTCAGAAATAAAAAATATTTATAAATGAATTTTATGTTTTAATTTTTATATAATATATAGAATTTGACATTTTTGGTGATGAATTTATTTATTTTTCAGGCGAAACACATATTCAGCAACAATAATTCCAGCATTCGCTCCAACTCCTTTCATGTTTTGAAGCTTCATAGTAAAGACTTCTTTTTTTTTTTCCTTTTCTTTTCTTTTTGTAAATTTTTATGCTTGAATGTACATACATATATAATGATAAATAATAGATATCATTTGAAGGTAATTTTAGAAGTTTGTAATAAGGGTTTATTTTATTTTGAAAATAAAAGTAATTTGTGCAAAGTTAAAATTGATCAAATCATTACGCTAGAATAATTCATGAGGTCAAACCATTTCGTGTTATTACATATTATAATGAATTTTTTTCAATAACTTTATATTTAATCATAATGTCCTACGAACTAAAAAATATACTCATGTTGCATGTTTCATCATAAAGTAAAAATATATTATTAAAATTAGAATCATAATTATCAAAATGTGAATTTATCAAAATATATATATTTTATTTGAATCAGAGTTATAAATTAAGATTCTAAAATATCATCAGGTCTAGGTATTGTTTCCCTAATGGTCATAATACCAAATACTTTTTAGCGAACTCTAGTATGATCAGATTTATAATTAAGCATTTCTTGTAAAAATATGAGCAATACCAAATTTTTGTAGAGCCCAAACCTCCATTTCTCCTACCCACTGCCCCTCTTGCTTGACCTGCCTGTAAGGGATTATTGTGTAACAAGTGCAGAACGTCCACTGGAACGCCTATGTATTTCATCATCAACTTGATGAATTAATTTTAAGATATATGATTTTCTTTATTATAACAGACTGTTTAAAAGGATCTCAATTTTTTTTTAAAATATTCTATTCTTTTTTCAGATACTCAGGTGCAACCTATGGATTCGCAGTTTATTTAATGACTTCATATAATTCAAAAATGTGTTTATGTATTAGCTTTTTTTTACTTAAATAATAAAATAACTTTTATACTTCTAATACTTTTATGCTTAAATCTTTTTTTTTCTTTTGTATAAATTCTTATAAATTTAAAAAATTTTAAAATAAACATTCAGAGTCAATAAGAATTCATTCATTGTTAGTCAACATCATATGTTCAAGCTACTTAGAGTTGACCGATCTATTGATGATGTAAAAATTTTATTAATCAATTTTACAACGAAAATTATAAAAAAAAATGTATCATAGTTATTATTATTTTTATTAAATTAAAATATTTTGTACATATTTTAGAGTATCCATTCATTCTATGTATCTTTATATAAATTTAATTTAATAGCTGATTTAGAGAGTAATATACAATTAGCAATATATATTATGACTTTGCTTTTCATACAAAATAGTAATAAATAGAGCATTCCATTATATATATGTGAAAATTTGATAAGAATATTACTTTATAACAATCATCTACAAGAACTAAGCCCGTTTTATTATATTAACATATTTTGTATACTAAATTTAAATACTAACTTAAAGTCTTAAAATCAATTATATATAAATGTAAAATACAAAAGTAACTAAATAGTATATTGAATATCTCATTTAAGCACTTTAATGTGTAATAAATTTTAGAAACATGTGTTAAATTGTTTAAAATAGTGACTATATTTGCATTTTCTTTTTACTTGTATAATAGTGATGCTCAATGTGAGAATTCATATATGTATAGAAGTGAAAGAGAGAACTTAGTTCTAAGTTACTTTCTTTATAGGGTCCTTTTATCGAAATATGTATAGACTTATATTAAGTGATTAGTATATACAAGTATCTAGATGAATCTTAATAAACTTAAATAATATAATAAGTCTTAGTATGATTATATCTAAATTTAAACAATAATTATAATTTGCTTTGGTAAAATACAAGAGGACCCAATTGATATTTCGTATTATATGCAAAAAATATACTACGAACATGGCGAATCGATATATCAAAAACACTAAAGAATTTGAAATAGAGTAGGCTAATTACATAGGTAAAATGGTAACTAGATTTTACTTTTGTTTAAATTTATTTTAAATTTTATATATTAATTACTTAATATGTAAAAAAAAAATTGTTATAATTTAAATAATTAAATAAATGAAACAGTTATAAAAATATACATATAACTTAAATTAATAGTGAAAAATAATTAAAAAATAAAATATTAAGTATTTGCTTAATTTTTTTTCATTCTATTTATAAATAACGAACCAGAATTTGAATAAACTTTAACACCATAATTTATTTTTTAAAAAAATGACAAGTAATGGGCTTACTCATATCAAAACGACATTCTTTATGCCGTTTTTAATTGGGGCCGGCTTGACAATTTGCAAGTCCTGCATATTCTCCCATGGGCTCACCCATTTTAACTCACACAACAAAATCTAATGTCCAAAGTTGGTATATATAATATGCTGAAAACCCATTTAAATAATCACTATAAAATATAGTTTTTATTTTAGTATCACTTTATATATTATTAATTTTGTATTAGCAAGAATTAAAACTTAAATATAAAGATGAACTTGATTAACCCTTGAGACAAATTGCATTGATACGAAAGATTAGGGTTTTACAACATGAACAAATATTGCTACAATGGATTTTTGTTTTTTTTTTTTTTGTTTCTGTAACAAGTTTATTTAGAAGGGCGGAAGTAATGGTGATGAAGACTGAAAACCCTAATCAACTCTTCTACTCTCCTTCACGCATCAACTTTCCTGCCGCCTTCTCCGTACTCCATTCCACCCATCGTATCATACAATGGCCGGTTCAATGTCTCGGGCAAGTAGTAAGCCAGCAATCCTCCCGAAACCCCACAAGCTCCAAACACAATAAACGGGAATCCGCCGCCCAAAACCACCACAAATGGTGCCAGTATCGCTCCCATTTGTGCTGCCTGCGTCGCGCAACCTAGTGCTGCGTTTCTCACAACTGTCGGAAACAACTCCGCGGTGTATATAAACAGTAAGTTGTAAGTCCCTGCCATGCCGAATATCCCAAGAATTCCACACCCCATTTGTAATATCTTCCATATGCCGGAACTCCCCAAGAAGCTTCCGATGAAGCAGAATAGCCCACTAAAGAGTTGAGTCCCAATTGCCATCGGCTTCCTTCCTACCTTATCTAACAAAATTGCTGTTATAGTGAATGCTGGCATCTCTGCTATGGCATTGAGTAGCACGTTGAGGTAAAGGTTGGTATCGAGGTTGACGACGTTTAAGCTGATACCATAATACACAACCGAACATGTGAAGTTAATCCCTACAGTAAGAAATAAACGAAAACGAGTAGTGGGTGATCGAACAACATCAACCAGAGAGCCTGTTATGGCTTCGTGCTTCATTGATTCTCCTTTAAAGGAGTGTGTGAGGTGATCATCTGAAGTGTTGTTGGTTTCTTCGTCAAGTGCAAGGACAATTCCATCAGGAAGATTCAATCCGTTGGAGTTGGCTATTTTCCGCATTATCTTCATGGCTTCGTTGATCCGACCACGAACAAGGTACCAGCGTGGAGACTCGGAGATGAAAGGGATAACGACGAGGAGGAAGAGCAAGGAGGGGACGGAGGAGGCTATGTAAAGCGATCTCCATGAACGGAAAATGTAAGCTATGCCAGATAGAATTGCTATACCAATTGAGAAGAAGTAGAAAGTGGACATGCCAGCAACACCGCGTTTGGTTGGGCCGACTGGTTCGGTGGCTAGAACGAAGGCGCAAAGGCCAACTCCACCATTGCTAAAGCCAGTTAGGAAGCGAAGAAGGAGATAGGTGAAGTAATTTGGGGAAAACGCAGTTAAGCAGCCGAAGATGGCGTTCAAGATGCAAACAACTGTTAATGACCCTTTTCTTCCTAGCCTGGAATCTGAGAGATGACCGAACGTCCCTGCACCTGGGAATACAAAAATTCTACCTTCGTATTAGCGATAAAATTTGTTAATTACTTGTTGTTTAAACTCTAATCTCAGTTTAATTGAGTATTTAGTGATTAATTATTTCAAAAGTTCCAAACTTTTAAGTTAATTGTTATTTGGACTTTTACATGATTATATTAATTTAATGTCTTAACATTTAAATGTCTGATATCGTAGTTTTTCGTATCATGAGTAGCGTAAAAATACATGAAAGAGTTATATAAGAGGAAGAATACATAAAGCAAAAAAGTATACTGATTCATATGAAATATGTCACTATAATATATAATATTTAATTTAATAGAATACATAATTTAATTTATCAGTGTATTATTAAATTTGCAATGACTGAATTTCTACTGAATCTCAACGAATCTATTATAGTTCCATATAAAAAAAATATCTTATGATAATTATATTTTTCTTATAAGATAGATAAAAATAATATTTATAATAATTATACTTTTTAAATTAAATAAATTGAAAACTATTAACACAATTTTATGAAAATACTTAGAAGTTAAAGATTATTACTCTACGGTCTAAAGGGTTACTATATACGTTTTTGACGCGGTTAGAATTTTAATAAAATTATATTAATCATTGTTCTCTTAAAATTTTATCTTCGAAAGAAGGATTAATTTGAGAAAATAGATTATTTTATCGATAAGTAAAAAAAAAATTATTCAAAACTTCAAAAGATATATGACAAAATTTTTTGTATAATACTATAATTATAAATAAAAATATATGTGATCAATATAATTTCTCGTACTATAAGCATATAAGAAGACTATCAACAACTATATTATAAATATCCACAAAATTTTAACTGGCATTGTACTAGAACTTTTGGTACACCAACATTATCATATCTTGAAAGCATCATTTCAACAAGATATCTAATATAATACAAACCAACCGTACAATTATCGAAGGGATTCTTTGTTATTTGGAAAGGTATTACCTTTGTAAGTATGTAATCTACATGATTCTATAAATATAAATGTATATATATATATATGTGTGTATATATCATATCTCAACATACCAATATACCAAGGACATATATGAATACCATTAAATTAATTAGAGAAAACCATAGTGCTGTTGCTACTCAAGTTTGAAACTATAGCTTTTTATTAAAAAAAAAAAAGTAAGCTATATATATAGATTTCATATCTATAATATAGTTAGTAAACTATATAATAATTAAATTAAATTAAATTATATCGAATTTATTATATTTTTTACGCACTAGTATGAACGGCTAAGACAGCGCTTAGAAAAGCAAAGGAGGAGACAGACCTATCATGCAGCCGGCGAAGAAAATGGCTTGGACCAGTCCGATCTTGAATTTCTCCCCGCAAACCAGCCCCCATTCCGTTACTGTCGAGCCGTCGGGACCGCCGACCCACTCCCACGAACCGGGTTGAAGCCCGCAAACGCTCTTCGCAGCCTCGTCGCAACCCGACCCCAGACAGCGCCAACCAGGGTTTCGGTCGGCGAAGATTATCACCATGGAGTGAAATGCCTGCAGGGCCCATGCTAAACTCGTCAGCACAAAGTGGCGTAATTGCCACCACCCGAATTCGCCGCAGTATTTCTGGAGCATGTCGTCAATGCGGAGCTTATCGGGTTTCGAATTACGATCCGGGTCGGGCTTCGCCGCGGAGAGAAGCGGCGATCGGATTCCGGAGAAAAGATCACTGACGTCCGTCGAGGGTGCAGACATGGCTTCTGATATTATGGTCACTGTCGGGGTTTCTGTAAGCCTCCCATAAAGTTGTACAAGTCTGTATTTTACATAATACGCAAAGCTCTGTTATTTATGTACAAGAAGTTTCCATCTTTGGAGTTCGACATGCGAGTTGATGTGGGGGAGATTTCCAGATGTTGACACGTGGAAACAAATCAGCCGTTGAAATGTAACATGGAGAAAAAAATGTAGGCTAAACTTTTCGTCGGCAATTGCCCCAACTCCTTTCATGTATTGAGGCTTCGTAGTGTAGAGATTTCTTTTTTTTTTTTTTGTCGTTTTGTAATTTTTATGCTTGAATGCATGTCTATATATATATATATATATACACACACATATAACGATAGAAAATAGGTATAATTTCAAAATAATTTTAAAGTTTGCAAGAAGGGTTTATTTTATTTATTATTTTTTATTAAGCAATTTGAAAATAAGGTAATTTGTGCAAAGATAAAATTGATCAAATTATTGAACTAAAACAATTTTTAAGGTCAAAACATTTCGTTTTATTATATATTGTATCAAATAAATTTTAGATCATATGATAAATGAATTCTTCTTAATAATTTTATTTTTAATCATAGTGTACCAAAGATTAAAAAAGATATTCATGTTGCATGTTTCATTGCAAAGTAAAAATATATCATTTGAATTACAATCATAGTTCTTAAGACATGAATCTATAGAAAATATTATTTAAATTAAAATCATAGTTTTCAATATGTGTATATATATTAGTTCTTTTTTTTGCTTAAATAATAAAATAATATTTGCACTTTTAGTATTTTTCTATTCAAGCCCTTAATTTTTTTTTTTTTCATTCCATGCAAGTTTATGTACATTTAAAATCTTTTTAGATAAACATTAAAGTTAATAGGTTAGCTCATCATTAGTGAGCACCAAAGTGTTCAAGCCACTTAGAGTTGACTGTCTATCTATTAATGATGTAGAAATTTTATGTCATCCTTTGTAAAGATTCCGGAACTTTAAATGAAAATGAATTCATAAAATAAATGCGGAAGTAATTAATAAAGTTAAAGTTTATATGCAATAGAGTTACGGAAATATTCCTTCTGAAAAACAAACGGTAATTAAAGAAATGAAATGAAAAGCAAATATAAAAATACCCTAAAACAACTTTCACTAGTACTTGAAAGGAGTCCGGTGGTGAACTACTCACAACTCTCTTACTGATTAAGATCTAGATCCTGATCCTATTGATCTGAAATGGTTAATGAAATAGTGAGCTACACTACCCTAATAAAAATATCACACTAATCACAGATATAGAAAATTGAAGATTAATAAAAATAAGAGAAAAAATTAATGGAGCCTTTACTTTATTTAAATACCTTTAAATTTGAAAATATTTGTTTGATATTTACTGTAACGAGTTTTCCAAACATAACTTATGAAGGTTCATATCCATACCACTTTTTACTTTCATACATAAAAGAACAAGAGATAATAACTTTTCTTTCTCCTGAAAAATGAATGGTAATTAAAGAAATGAAATGAAAAGCGAATACAAAAATACCCTATGACAACCTTCACTAGTACTTAAAGGGAATCCGATGGTGAACTACTCACAACTCTCTTATTGATCAAAATGTAGATCTTGATCCTCTTGATCTGAAATGGTTAATAAAAGAGTGAACTACACTAGCCCAATAAGAATATCACACTAATCACAGATACAGAAAACTGAATATTGATAAAAATCAGAAAAAAAAAAAAAACTAATGGAGCCTTTATTTTATTTAAATACCTTTAAATTTAAAGATATTTGTTTGATACTTACCGTAACGAGTTTTTCAAAAATAACCTATGAAGGTCCATATCTATACCACTTTTTACTTTCACGTATAAGAGAACAAGAGATAATAACTTTTCTTCCTTATATATTTACTGGTACCACTGGGTGTCTATAGGAATGTTTTTCATACTCGTGAACTTAATATTTAATTTTACAATTAACCGATCATCCCCATACCTCATCTGATAATGAGCGTCAAATATTTCATCGTCTCGATACCTCATCCGATATGAGGGTGAACCATACCTCTCAAACCTTTTTGGTAAGGAACTTTTCAGCCTCGTTCGACTGAAATAACATTCACAGTAGGTCCCCTATGTACCGGACCCGTCTGCCATTTTCCTGGTAACCAGCAAGTCTTACATATACAAATTTTCATCAATAAACAACTAGCAATGCATACTGATATCTCATATCACATTCACATATCAATTAAATTACATTCATACTGACAGTATATAATCAAAATAACCAGATAAGTCGATAAAACCATTGAAATTATGAATTAAGAACATGTATTATACGAAAATCAAGCAAGTAGGACAGTACAAGAAAATAAACAAAAAATCAAGACAATTGTGAACTAACCGGTTCTGCCTCTACTAGTGACCTGTAATTATTTTCAAAATTTTTTAAATTTTTATAAAAATATAAAATTATATATCGTTAAATCTCAATTTACTATAACGGAGAATAGGGTGAGGGATCCTTATCTGAATCGGTATTTCGAGACGTCGAGCTGTCTACTACGCCTTCTAACGAGTACCGAATTTTTTGAATTTTTTCTGTGGAATCCAAAACACTCGTTACATACATAAAAATACCCCAAAAATCTAAAATCGGTGTCCAAAACTCATTCCGGCCAATTTTGGGGTTCCAGCACGGCAGCGGCATCGTGCTTCGGTGCTGGCTCCGCCGCCCACAACGGTAGTTCACCTCGGTCTAACTAGTTTTTGCCAATTTTGACCGGTTTTGCACGTATTCATGTAGAAAAACACATTAAAATGGCTCAATTGACCAAAAATCATAAAAATCGAACCTACCGGGGGAAACCTCCGGGTACGGCGATTCTACCAGTCGTCCTTTGCGGCTGAGATTCTTTATTCGGCTAACATGTACATAAAAGGACGCTGAACACAATGACCAAAAAATTGTGTAAAACGGGAAGTGGGAAGGGGTTAATCAGAGGTATTTTGTGGTTTTGGCTGCGGCGGCTCTACCAGGCTTTGCCCACAGTTTTCGGCTCACTTGTCGTCCCTCTTGCTCCGATTTGGCCACAGTAGTATTTGTAATCGAATTCTGAGTGGGTAGGGAAAATTTGTACATTTTTTGGCAGTCGGCGGTGGCTCTGGTGCCGAGGTGGTTGGCGGTCGACCTTCTTCTCTAGTATCCAGTTCTTCTTCTCCAGCGGGGCTGATGGTTAGGGTTTGGGTTCCCGTATGATATGAAGTATTTATACCCATCTCGCGTTGATATAGATCATCCATCGCGATCGATCTCGTCTGTCTGATTGCGTCTAAGGAGAAAACAAATCTGGATTTTTCATCGCGATTGATCTCAGCCGTCCAATCGCGCTTAAGGAGGAAACGAATCCAGACCGTCCACACGCGCAGGATTGATCCTGGGTCATTCGATCACGGGGCATGAGGATCGCTCTCATGGCCTCTCACGTGGCACCAACGTCAGGATGCTTTGCCATGCGGCATGCTCCAATTCGTCGAGGCTGCTGGTTGGACGGTCTTACATAGCCGAACTTTTTTTTTTCACTTTGATCCCCTGTTTTCAATTTTTCTTTCAAAAATACTCTCCGAACTCAAATTTTCACCTATTTTTTCTAAAATTATTTTCAATATCGTCCCTAATTTATTTTTTCTCAAAATTTTAATTAAATAAAAATAAACTAAATTAAATAATTTTTTTAATAAAATAATTTAATAATAAAAAATATCTCAAGCTATTTTTCGGGTCCAAGTACTACATCCTTCATGTCATCATTACAAACAAGTATAATTGGTCATCTGTTAAGTATGTAACCTAACAATCTGGTTGGAAGATAATGAACTCTACTAGAGTCAACCTCTCTAATGGTCTAAATGGGAATTTTGCCATCGTAGGTGATGATGAGGAAAATGAGCAAGAGATGGCAGGGACAACTATGAGCAATGAGTGAGAATAAGAAGTTTGGAGATGATAAAGATTAGTTTTGATTGGATGCATAGAAAGAGAAATCTAGATGAATTATTGAGAAGAAAGATGAGGTGAAATAAAAAAAAAGGTAAGAGGAGAATGGATAAGATAAGATGAGATTGTATAGTCATGGTTGTGGACATCTTTGGTTATGGTGACTTTGATGTGAAGTGTGTGTGCGTCCTCTCCCTCGAGGGGTTATGGGAAGGAAAGATGTGAAAAAGAATAAATAATGGATGGAATCGAAGAATTATTGACTTGAAAAAAAGGAGTTGAGTAGCCAATTGTACTTGTTTGTAATGGTGATGTGGAGGATGATGTTGAGGATTACGTGAAATTTCCACATCATCAACAGCTAACCAGCTAATGCCATCGGGTTTGTACATGTGGGGTTGACTAATAGTGAGTCAGTTTTTAAAACTATAAAGATTCACACGTAGTACAAATATTAATAGTACAAAGTTCTATTATTCAAACATTCAATTTGGTCATTTAAACATATATATTCTATTAAAGTATAGTAATCGTGCATTGTATTAATCAAATTCATAACTAAAATCAGAAAAAGAGTACCATACTCGATCTATTTTTTTTATTAAATTAAAATATTTTGTACATATTTGGAGTATCCATATGTTACATGTAAATTTATATAGATTCAATCTTATTTTATTACTTGTATTATTTATGTTCTACCCTTCCATCTAAACTAATTCATGAAATATATTGAAATATTTATTTATTTTAATAAATCTTGATAAGTTTTAAAATCAGTTATATAAATCTAAAAGATAAAAGTAATTAAATAATATATAAACACACCAACCATGATAGTATGCAATAAATTTTAAGAACAAAAGTTAATTGTTTGTTTGAAGTCGTGACTTTGGTCAGTAAGAATAAGAAATCTCAACTGAATATACATATATATATATATATATATTATACACACAGAGATATTTAAATATTAATTAAAAGTTTTAAAATAGATTATGAATAAATGTAGGATACAAAAATAATTAAATAATATATCGAATATCTGATTAAGACATTTTAATACGTAATAAATTCTAGGAACAAGTGTTAACACATAACTAAATCAATGAAACAGTTATAAATATATATATATATATAACGTAAATTAATTGTGAAAAATAATTAAAAAATAAAGTATTAATTTTTTATTCTGTTTATATTATATTTTAGTTCTTATTTTATGAACCAGAATTTGAATAAACTTTAACGCCATAATTTATTTTTTTTTAAAAAGGACAAGTAATACATCAAAACGACATGCTTTATGCCCGTTTTCAATTGGGGGGCATTAATAATTTGCAAATCCTATATATAGGAGTTCTCCTATGGGCTCACACAACAAATCTAAATTCCAAAGTGGGTGTGTATATATATATATGTATATGTAATATCGCCCATAACCCAATTAAAGAATCACCAAAAGACCAAAACCCAAAATTTAAATGAAACCAAATTATTCTCTGAGTAAGCTAATAATTAGTGGGTAGATACAAAGATTGTATATATTAAAATGTCAAGAAATATTGGAATGAACTTGAACAATCGTTGACACAAATTCCATGGATAAGAAAGATATGATATTAGAACATGAAAAATGAGATTATTCCTTTTCTGTCTCCCTCTTGAACTCTCCATGACAAGTTTATTTAGAAGAGTGGAAGTGATGGTGGTAAAGACTGAAAACCCTAAATAACTCTCTTACATTCCTTCACACATTAACTCTCCAGTCACCTTCACCATACTCCATTCCACCCATGGTATCATACAACGGCCGGTTCAGTGTCTCTGGCAAGTAGTACGCCAGAAACCCTCCCAAAACCCCACAAACTCCGAACACGATAAACGGGAATCCGCCGCCCAAAACCACCACAAACGGTGCCAGTATCGCCCCCATTTGTGCTGCCTGCGTCGCGCAACCTAGCGCTGCGTTTCTCACCACCGTGGGAAACAACTCCGTTGTGTATATAAAAAGTAAGTTGTAAGTCCCTGCCATGCCGAATATCCCAAGAATTCCACACCCCATTCGTAATATCTTCCATATCCCGGAGCTCCCCAAGAAGCTTCCGACGAAACAGAATAGCCCGCTAAAGAGTTGAGTCCCGATCGCCATCGGTTTCCTTCCGAACTTATCTAACAAAATTGCGGTTATAGTGAATGCTGGCATCTCTGCTACGGCGTTGAGTAGCACGTTGAGGTAAAGGTTGGTTTCGAGGTTGACGACGTTTAAGCTGAGACCATAATATACAACCGAACACGTGAAGTTAATCCCTACAGTAAGAAATAAACGAAAACGAGTAATGGGTGATTGAATAACATCAACCAGAGAGCCCGTTATGGCTTCGTGCTTCATTGATTCTCCTTTAAAGGACTGTGTGAGATGTTCATCTGGAGTGTCGTTGGCCTCTTCGTCAAGTGCAAGGACAACTCCATCAGGAAGATTCAATCCGTTGTACTGGGCGATTTTTCGCATTATCTTCATGGCTTCATTGATCCGGCCACGAACAAGGTACCAGCGTGGAGACTCCGAGATGAAAGGGAGGACGATGAGGAGGAAGAGCAAGGAGGGGATGGAGGAGGCGATGTAAAGGGATCTCCATGAACGGAAAATGTAAGCGATGCCGGATAGAATTGCTATACCAGTAGAGAAGAAGTAGAAAGTGGACATGCCAGCAACACCGCGTTTGGTTGGGCCGACTGGTTCGGTGGCTAGAACGAAGGCGCAGAGGCCAACTCCGCCGGTACTAAAGCCAGTTAGGAAGCGAAGGAGGAGATAGATGAAGTAATCTGGGGAAAATGCAGTTAAGCAGCCAAAGATGGCGTTTAAGATGCAAACAACTGTTAGTGACCCTTTTCTTCCTAACCTGGAATCTGAGAGATGACCGAACGTCCCTGCACCTGCGAATCCAAAAATTATACCTTTGAATAAATGATAAAATTTGTTTGTTACTGGTTTAAACTCTAATATCATTTGAAATAAGTATATATTGATTAATTATTTCAAAAGTTCCAAACTTGTAAATTAATTGTTCATAATATGTCATTTAGACTTTTACATCAAGTTTAATAATTACATATATTTGATGTCTTAATATTCAAAAGTTCGATATTGTAGTTTTCCATGTCATGAATAGCGCAGAATCACATGAAAGAGTTGCAGAGGAGGAAGAAGACAGAAAGCAACCAGTAAAATTATGAGAAGACGAAACGACAAACATGGGAACAAAAAACGACACCCTTGTGATCCGCCAGGTGAAGACAAAAAGGCAGACGGATTTTTCTCTTCAATCACGCCAATTACACGTTTTGATTTGCTTTATAGTTTTCGTATTTGGACCTTTTCTTTTTCATTTTCTATCTTATCATGATTGAAACAGACTTCCTTGACCTAAAAAAGTAGAAAAAGAAACACAGTCCCATCAAACCCAGGTAAAAAGAAGAACTTGAATAGGAATCAGATTCCTTGTTGGAATTGCAGCATGACATATATCTCTATATATATATATATAAATATATATAAAAAGAACATACAGGGTAAGAGGTTCACATAAACAAGTTCATAAACTAGATACCCAACAACACATACGAGTACACCATTAAATTAACTAGAGAAAACCAAAGTGCGGTTGCTACTCAAGTTTGAAGATGCAATAATTACACATGCAAACACTTAATATCCGGTCGCTATGACAGACGTATGTTTATATGTATATGGCCCGTGAAGCTTTACTCCTACCTACCACTAAACTAGCCTTCACTCTTCATAATATTTGGCAGCTTATGCAGAAAGCAACAATCTCTTCCTAGCTGTGACACGAATCTACATAACTCTCACTCTATATATATATGTGTGTGTGTGTATGTAAATACAAACAAGTGTGCCTAACATTATCTTATATTTTAATTATATTATAAAATAATTAGTCAGTTAAGATTATCACAGTAATCATAATACCATTAAATAATTAAGATTTAAACGTGACACATCTCGAACCAGTTGTCGGACCATGCAAAAAAGAATATTTCTTAAAAAAATATTCATATCATTCTATTCACAATTATCATTATTATTATTATTATAATTAATTCATTAACTAATTTTTCGTAATTATTATTACCATTTGAGTTAACCCATCAACTAAATATGGTAATATTATTTTAAATATAAAATTTTTCGAACGATAATTAAAATTTTAAATATCGAATAAATTTAATAGTTTAATTTAAATTATTTTGAATGTTATTATTACGTACACCCTAATTAATAATAATATCTTTTGACTAAAAAACTAATAAGTCCACCGTGCCTAATTTTACTTCCTACATTCCCGAGAAGTATATAGATTTTAATGTTATAAAAATAAATAAATTTAAATTCCATAACCATAACAAAATAAAAAATTAAAAAATTAAAATAGCGGAGGCAGGCTTTTTTTGTGCACCATAATTAATACCTAATATGACGTGAACGGCCGAGACACCGCTTAGAAAAGCAAAGAAAGAGACTGACCTATCATGCAGCCGGCGAAGAAAATAGCTTGAACCAGTCCGACCTTGAATTTCTCGCCGCAAACCAGGCCCCACTCCTCAACCGTCGAGCCGCCGGGACCGCCGACCCACTCCCACGATCCGGGTCTAAGCCCGCAAACGCTCTTCGCCGCCTCGTCGCAACCCGACCCCACGCAGCGCCAACCAGGTTCTCGGTCGGCGAAGATCATCACCATGGTGTGGAATGCCTCCAGGGCCCACGCTAAACTCGTCAACACAAAGTGGCGTAATTGCCACCACCCGAATTCCCCGCAGTACTTCTGGAGCATGTCGTCAATGCGGAGCCTCTCGGGTTTCGAAATCTGACCCGGGTCGGGCTTCGCCGCGGCGAGAAGCGGCGATCGGACCCCGGAGACCAGATCACTGACGTCCGTCGAGGGGGCAGACATGGCTTCGGATATTATAGTCGAGTGGATTTTATCGGCGGTTTGGTCACCGTCGGGGCTCCCGCATACCTCCCATAAGGTTGTAGAAGTAAGTATTTTTTTGTAATACGGAAAGCTCTGTCATTTATATAGGAGAAGTTTCGACCTTGGAAATTCTACTGCGAGGAAACTAGCTCATCTGAGTTGACGTGGACGAAATTTCCTGATGACGACACGTGGAGAAATATCAGCCGTTAAAAGTAGAGCGTCAGTGCCACGTGACTCACAAACTAGCCGTCGGATCTCTGAGTCAGGTGGATGAGAACGCCTACCTGGCAAGCTGTAAGCTGGTGTTTATCAAGGTGGGGTTTATTTTGGGAAAATTGAAAAATTAGTGGGCTGAATTTTTAATTCTTAAATAATTAATGTCCTTATTTGCAAAACATAAAAATAGGTGTAAAATAATCAAATAGAGTTGGAATTTGAGTCAAATTAGGGTAGCTTTGTATTTTATGAAATGGGTCAAAAATTGTATTGAAACTAATATATAATTAATATATATATATATTAAATGCTTTATATATGTAAATAAATTGAAAGACCTCGTTAAATATTTGTCAATTAATTATGTTTTTAGAATTATTATAATTATTTATTTATTTATTCCAAATATATCATAATTTGACAACTAATGAATATGTGTATATATATCCCTTTATTAGCAACTTTCTGAAAAGGGTCAAATAAGATGTGGGCTTATTATTATTAAGTAGTAGACTGAAGTGTATGTGGCAGATGAGGAGGATTACAGTCTTAAAGTCTTTTCTCTTTTCTAATAAAACAATTATCTTTTTTTAGAAGATAACTTTGTTGACTACACTTTTCCTATCATAGAAAAAGTGTAGTCACAATTACTAATTCCAAAAGAATAAAATTAATAATTATTTCTTATTAATTTATTATTAATTAACTTATTTAAACTTTCAATACAAAATACAAATAGGTAAAACGACAGAGATCTCTTTATATGATTACTCTTTATAATTTGTCTTTCTCAATCTACAATCGCCGTAAAACTTTTTTTTACCCCTCTTATCCTTTATCGTGTGAATTGTTTAGCGTACGATAATAATATTATCTATTATTTGTCGTCCCGGCACAAAACTTACTTGATTAATCTCAATAAATTTCTTATAATTTGTTTCAACATATCGTAATCAATAAAGAAATCTAAAAAGGGTTTTTTTTTTTGGTTAAAGTTACCACCTTTATCATTTACTATTCTAATATTCGTGGTTTCTTTAAAAACTTCTATCACAAATTTACTTTATACTCCATTCTTGATACACTTGTTCCTCCGAGCAATAACTTCACGAGATATGTCTGGTGATCCAAAATTCTTATTTATCAGTAAAAGTAACACTTGTCAAGAATGTTTAATACTTTTTTTTTTCTTTCATTTTATATTTGCTTTTTATGTTTTGAATTTTTTTCTTTTTTTAGGACCGATAGTGTTGGGGATTTGAACTACAAAAAATATATATATTCTGAAAGAAAGTTTATCTATTCGAATTTATTAAAAAAATAGATCATTTGAATTCTAATATACTTCAACGAGAATCTACAAAAAAAAAATTTAATAAATAACATTCTTCCAATTTTATAAATAAAATCCACATGTTAGAAACATTTTTAAAACTTTTTTTTTTAAGTTAATAACCTTAATATAAAGCTTTTTGCTAAATAATAGTTTTTTTTATTCTTCATTTTTTAAACCATAACTTAATTATTTATCCTTTTAATTGTCATTCTTAAACCCCGTAAAATAGATTTTGTTTTAGTTAACAATTCAACCAAGGTAAATTCACTAGACAAATAAATATTTTTTTAACGACAATACCACCTCTTGACGATGAGATATGAAAATACACAATTCAACTTGAATTCAGAATCTTTTATAGAAAGATAGTAAAGTACCGATTATACAATCAAGTAATGATTAGTAAACTAGGTTAGACGAACAATCCACTATAACAAACCTTCATAAAGTAATGAAAAAAAAAATCCCTATTAGATCAACACGCAATAGAAATCATAGTAAGACACTTTCTTATGATCCATCCAACTTGTAAATGTATATTAATTATATCAATATCTTAATATATATATATATATATTATAATTATCTATGGAAAAAATCATATAGTATTTATGAATATACTTAATTTAATCTATATATTATTTTTATTTTTCTTCAATTATATCAATTTTGATTTCAGCATAATTTCTTATTTAACATTGAATATAATTTTAATTAAAATTTAATTTAAATTTTCTATTAGACAGTTAATAAAATTTTACTACGTGTAAATTTATTTAAATAATTAAAATAACTAAACTTTTAGCCTGCAAAATACATATGATTTTATAATAATTTTTTGTAGTTATATACAAATAACATAAATTTGAAAAATGCCCAAACACATACTTGAAGAGCTAAGAAGAAAACTTAAACCAAGAGAAATGCTGTTCTGCAACAACTCTGGTTTTAGTCCAGAGGATAATGTGTTTTGTAATGCTTATATCAGTTGACAAACCTTTGTTAGTATGCTTATGTTCATTGAAGTTTACTTAGTTCATGAAACAACTTTTCTTTTTTCTAGAATGTAAAAGTTGTCATGGACATTCAAGTTTCACATTTTTTCTTCTTCTTCTACACTTTCTGCTGCTCTCTGTCCTTTGTTTTTCTGCATTTCTCGGACCTCCATTCTCTGCAGATTTTCTATTTTCTGCTCCTCTAAACAAAAAACGCAGCCAACACCAAAACAATACATGAAGCCAACACATGTAACACTCACTCTGCTCTTGATTCACACACCACACTCTTAATTAACTCATGAGGAGATGTATAATAGGAACCAAATGCCAACACTAAATGGCAAAAGAATCTTTAGTGAAGGAACAAATTTTGTCTTGAATGTGAGACAAGTAATCATATATCTAGAGCATAAGCAAAGCATTTGTATGGGACAGGAACCAATCCTACATGACATAATCATAACAAGCTCCACTGTAACGAGAATCATAAAAACAGTAAGTGAAATTGGAACTTCTTTGTCACGCATCAACCTTATAACGCCTTCAAAAACTGACCAAACGTAAGCACATTGCCTGAACGTGACCCTAGCAATACATCCACAGAGTTCTCATCAATTTATAATTCCCCTATGCATCTCCACTGCATACAATTTCTTGAACAAAATGATTATGGACCTAAATGTGCTACTTTCATGGTACATGGTATTTTTTGACAGATGAATTGCACTTTGGCTATCTAGTTATACATCCTCAGCAATTCATCCACAGCGTTCCCCTATGCATATCCACTGCATACAATTTCTTGAACAAAATGATTAGGGACCAAAATGTGCTACTTTCATGGTACATCGTATTTCTTGACAGATGAATAGCACTTTGACTACCTAGTTATACATTCTCAGCAATACATCCACAGTGTTCTCAATTTATAATTCCTCTATGCATCTCCACACTGCATACAATTTCTTGAACAAAATGATTACGGACCTAAATGTGCTACTTTCATGGCACATGGTATTTTTGATAGCACTTTGGCTATCTAGTTATCACAAGTCACCACTTTCTATCTTGCTGTATCGTAAGACCATTAAGCTGAGAATCATAAGGTTTCTTATCACCTTCGTGATAAACAAGATAAACATAGATTGCACAATCATTCTCAATTAATGGAACACCTTAAAGATAATCTAACAACAATCTCCACTTTAATGAGTATGTAGAAAACAAAACTGAGATTAAGACTTCTTTGTCATGCATAAATTTGGCAGGGTTTTCAAACACCTCAAATACAAGCTTCCATGAACTTGACCCTAGTAATAATCAAGTTTTATCAGAAGCCAATCCAATATCTATTGTGCCACATAAATAATGGAGGATCCCCTTTACAGTCTACTGGTGTTTTTGGCAGGGTTTTCAAACACCTCAAATACAAGCTTCCATGAACTTGACCCTAGTAATAATCAAGTTTTATCAGAAGCCAATCCAATATCTATTGTGCCACATAAATAATGGAGGATCCCCTTTACAGTCTACTGGTGTTTTTGGCTTAGATTAGCCATATACCAACTAACCACTCTGATTATATGTGATGTGTCTCGCTAGGTAAAAATCATTGCGTTTATTAAACTCCCAACTAGATTTATATACGGGACACAGTAATATGGACACAATCCTTACACATCTCTTCCTTACTCTTGTCGTGATAACATAACTAAAAGCTCAAAATGTGCATTTAATTGAGGAGTCACAACTTTGGCTTTCTAAAACCAAAATACTTGAGCAATTTTTAATATAGTGCTTTTGAGACAACAATGATCCCTTGACCTCCCGATTTCGATAAATTTATTCCAAGAATTTTCTTGCAAAACCAAAGTCTTTCATCTCAAATGCACCATTAAGCTGCTTCTTCTAATCATTAACAATATGTGCTTTTAGTAGCAATGAGCATGTTGTCAATAAAGTAAAAAGTAAATCAAAAAGTCATCTGAAGGCTTTCTTTGGTATACACAACTATCATGACTCCTATGAGTGAACCCAACTTGTTTTAAGTAATTAAAACAACCATTCTATGTCACTGTTGAGGAGATTGGTTTAACTATATTTTCCTAGAGACAAGCATGATATTTTCTCTCCAGACAAATAGATCCTCCTTACCCGAACATACATACTTTTTCACGGTGCAAGAAATCCATATTCACATTGAGTTGTTCAAACTCATGATCATGTAAAGCAACTACAGTTAAGTAGAACACAGATACAACTAAGTTTTACCACAGAATTCAATACTTCCTAAAAAACCTTTAACAACCACCATAGAAAATCTTGCTTTCTCTGCCTTCCATTTGCATATGTGTAGATAAGTTCTACAAAGTGCTGCAAAGAATGTTCTTTAAATGCTCTTTATATTCAACGTACTAGAGGGAGAACAAATGCTAGGACTTAGCCGATAAGTTGATACACAGTTTCTAGCTTTTGTGGAGAAGGAAGAAAAACCGGAAAGAATGCAAAATCAGTCATACCTTCGGACCAATCAGCTTCCTCTGCCACCTTCTGGTAGCATGTTTTCTTTAGTCGTTTTCTGACCCCTGAACATGCCTTTAAAGACATCATCTCTACCATTGCCTTTCTTAGTAGTAGACGTTTTCCCTGTTTCATTTTCCTTTCCAGTCCCAACTAATGGATAGAACCTATTTCCTTGAACCTTCTCCCCGGCTTTCATAGCTCCAGTAGATAAGTTTTGTTCATTAACTCTGGGTTTTAGAAAAGGTCTTGCACGAATTCGAGCCTGAAAATTTTATGGAACATAAGATCTCTCATCTGTTCATAATAGTTTTATGATTATAAGGTTGAAAAGTAAAAACTCATTCATCCCAAATTGAATTTATGATGTGAGAATTAGTTACAAAAAAATAGAACAATGAAAGAAAATCATGAACAAATTTGTGTTAAGCCATGTATCTCCTTTTCCTCTCATTACTTTCATGATATCTTTTTCAGGACCGCAGGAGTGTCATGCAGCCATCAAAAAGTTACCTAATAGTTAAAATTTCATCAGGACGTCCAATATATTTTAAGATCTTTTACTACATGCAGGCAGCATGTATGTATGCGTGTTTAAGACCTTTAACTGCAGATATGCATGTTTTTAAGTCATACAAGTTGTTGTGCCACATTGATGTTTCACATTTTAAATCCTCTCACCTTCGGTTTTGCTGCTTGGAGATGGGCTGACTTCTCAAATTTTGATAAATCTGCACTTCTAAAATTATGAGTTCCTTCTTTTACTGGAGCAACAGAAGCCTTTGACCGGTTAGGAACCTTTACTTTATTCTTGGCAGCTTCAGTCAACCTTGCCAAATTTCTGCTTTCAAGATTTGGCTCTTTGCTTTGCATAAACATGAAGGTTGAGCTCTTAGTATTGTAACCAGAGTTTAAGGATGACCCAGTGCTAGATTTACTAGAACAAGAAGATTTACGATCTTTCGATTTCTTTCTATCATTACTAATATCCTCCACTGAACAGCTCCTATCACTACTAATTTCGACCCTCAATGCCTGTCTTGTGAGATAACTTTTCCTAAGACTAATCTTGATTGCTGGCAAGAGCCCAGTTGTGTGACTCAATGCTTGACTTGATACTTCCAGGGGCTTCTCCTGTTGTTGCTGATTACTCTCAAATGTAACAGTACTCAGCGTCTTTGAGACACCTGCCTGATCTGATGAACTCGAGCCATTTTCATAACCTGGAGAAGTAGATATGGTTTTGACATGGTTAGCTGCAAGATTTCTATCTAAGTTCCTTTCAGTAACTGAAACTTTCTTCGACAAAGTTCCTTTGGGATGTATAAAGCTCAGTTTGTGCTTTATTTCTTCACGAGATCCTAAACGCACCCATGAAGGCTTCCCTCTTAGAACCTTGGCAGGAAGCTGCTTATTTAATGAAGCATCACGAGTGACCCCCTCCCAATCTTTGCTCCTAAAGTCCTTGCCTCTTGATCTGGAAACTGAAGATGGAAGTTTTGGAGAAGCCACTCCAGGCAATTCTAACTCTGCAGTCTTTGTTTCCTCACCAGTACAAGAAAACATAGACTTTAACTGGCATGAAGAACATTGGTGAAACCTGAAAATAGTAAGAATATATAAAAAAATTAGCCAGGACACTTGGGCGAATTGTTAAAGCAGCACATTATATGATGGCAAGATACTTACTGGTGGCTTGTGTAGAACCAATCATCATTCCTGCCACATTACAAGAACATTCTTATCCAAATGACAGCAAATTTTTATTTGAAGTGCTTCAAATGAAGTTCTAACAAAAAAATTCTCATAGAGACTCACTTGTCTTGACTGTGGCAATTAGCCTCAAGAGTAAGATCTATCCACATGGGTGCTTCAATTTCTTCCTGCATTTCAATCAGGAAAGTGGAAAGCTAAGCAAAATGAGGGACCATATCAACTGTTCGTGGCACTCCAGGAGATGAAAAAAATACCTTGTAATTAATGTAAAATCAAATATCAGAACGTTTAATATCTTTCAGTGCTCACATTTTCTCTAACCAAATCTTTCGAAAATCAATCGGAAAAAATAAAGCAAACATACATTTCACTAATGTAGAAATGAAGACCACGGTTTCAATTTAGCAAAGATGAAAAATAATCAGAACTCGGAAATCAGTAAATCCCTGAAACTTAATTACAAATAACATCTATCTTCCAGATTATGAAGAAACAATCCATGGTCTCAAACCTCCGCTCCTCTCCTCTTCCCTCCCCCACCCCCGGTAAAAAGAAAAATAACAAATCAATAATACGAAAGAATAATCAAAAGGAACGAAAGAACCATCAAGACAGACCAAACAAACAGGAGGAAAATTAATCATAGAATCTGACTGTAATAATTTACCAGAAACGCCCAGTGATCTTTGTGTTTCTTGAGAACCATCATCTCTCCCTCTGAACTTCCCATATCGCGAAGAACAAGACGCCTTGAACCGAATCACATGGATTAAGAAAACTACTATCCTGTTCAAGGATGATTATGCCAAGAAAAGCCTTCCATTCTTGCTATTGTTAGCTTCTTCTCCATGAAAAAAGGGTATGTTCCTGTCGAGCGACGAGGTCAGTCCGGTTTTCGTGATGATGAATTAATAGCCGTTGATCTACTGACCTCTCAGCAATGAGAAGTCAAACCTGCAAAGCCCTCCAATTGGACGGCTGAGATTGAGGGAGAGCCGAAGACTATAAACAGAATTTTAAGCTGTTGTTTTACGTGAGCTGTGAATTAGTGGGCATAGGATGAATCGACCGTTGGGAAAATTCAAAAGGAATAATTATAAAATAAAACAGGAGATGAGATACTGTCACCGGTGGGTCACTTTGAGTTATGAACGCCAACAAGGCACGCAAGTGCTGGTCTAGTGAAAATTACAAAAAATTCTAATTAACTTAATTACGCTAATAAAAAAGTAAATTTGGTGTTAGTTTAATATATTTTAATTAACTTAATTACGTTCTTATTTTTAAAAAAAATTTATTTTCTCAGGTAATTTTTTTTTTTCATAAGATAAAATCTTAAATTTTTATCTAATTAAAACTTTTATTAATTACTTAATCATATAATAATTATCATAATCTATTATTAGTTATACAATAACTTGTGAGGATGCATGTAACCAATAAAAATTTATATTGCAAACTAATCGTAATAAAAAATAGGTTGTAAATATATAATAATTAAAATTTTATTTGATTTAATCTTTTAAATAGACATAATAAAGATTAATTGGCATTTTTAATAAAATTTTAATAAATACTAATTTTAGTATGCTTTTATTATAATTATAATTATAATGATTTTATCTACTTATTATAATTTTATTTATTATAGCTTATGTATGAGATAAATTTAATTAATATTTGAATATTTTTTTAAGAATGATTATGACTCTACTTCATCATATCTAAATATAAGATAGATTTTCTATTGTTTATAATTTATCAAA